TCGTTATCCCTAGTAGAGACGACTGGAAAAGAAGTAACCCTCCTCTGGACGGTCTGGCCTTCTATACAGACGGATCCAAGATGGAAGAAGGTACTGTGGCAGGCGTCTACTGTGAAAGGTTAGGCCTTGAGTTGACCTACAAGCTGGATAGTAATTGTAGTGTTTTCCAAGCTGAAATCTTCGCGATCTGGAAGGCAGCGGAATTGATAAAAAACCTGGATGCTGAGGTCGTTGAACCGGTGACTATCTTTGTAGATAGTCAAGCGGCTCTTAAAGCCATCAAATCTTGCCACATCAAATCCGAAGCCGTCCTCAAGTGTAGAGCAGCTCTGGAAGAACTTAACCATAGCTATCGGTTGTGTTGGATACCAGGACATTGTGACATCTTGGGTAATGAAAGAGCGGACGAACTAGCTAGACGAGGATCTCAATCCATCGATCTAGAAACTGATGACTCACTCAAACCACCCATTTGTCTTTTCTATAGGAACTTTGAGGCATTCTTTAACGAAACAGCCCGCGAACTTTGGCACAACGAACCTAGGTGCAACGTGTCAAGATCAATCTGGCCGACTCTGTCTACCAAAAGAACGCACTCACTGTTGAACCTGAACAAAGCTGAAATTAGAGTGATGACGGGATTCATCACTGGTCACTGCAACATCAGGGCCTTTACTAGTAAATGGGATCTTGATGCAACTGATTACTGTAGACTCTGTGTTGACGAGGAGGAGACGGAGACAATTGAGCATCTCCTGTGTCACTGTCCAGCCCTGGCTTACAGGCGACACAGACTAATGGGTGCTCATTTTCTACCGGGTCTCAGCTTCTTCACATCAACCGAACCTGCTCTAATCTACAGCATAATTAGAAACATCAAATGGTTAGGAGCAGGGTTTAAAATGCTAACGCCAAAATAGCAAACACACAGAAAATTGGCGCACTGCTAACTAAATTCATCCTCAAACTATGCAGCACAGCCAAGCACAACTGCAACAAATAGCAATACATTACGAATAATTTTAGCAAGCAAAACTAAAGCTTCTTGATCTTGTCAGCAGCTACAAAATAGCAATGAACAACTACAACATAATTGTCAACGCGACTAACAACCAAAGCTTACAATGAAGACTAAGCACCTTGACTGTGGCTGCTTAGCAAGATTTTTAGCAAACAAAACCCGAGCATTTTTCGAGTTCAGTGTTGCCCATTGAAATTTTATAAATTAAATGAGATAATTAAAAATGGCGATTATGATAATTTCATTTTTTCGAACAAAGACAATTAGTAATACTTGCTAAAGAGTTTAATTTAATATATTATTTAGTTTTTAGTACTATTATTGACAGTTTTAATTGCGATTTGACAAGCTTAAATTAAATAAAAACGCACAAAATGAAATGCCGTTTTTCTAATTCTGCGTTGGCAACACACAAACATAAAAACAACCCTCGGCTGATTATTCGTCGGCAGCGAAATATGAATATGTAGTCGTACTGCCGATTAGTCATAACAAAAAAAGCTCGCATGTGCAATACGTGCTTAGCACGGATGCTACGAACTAAAAAAGCTAGCCGTTTGCTGATTTAGTCATAATGTCAATATTTTTTAGCAGTAGCTCTGTAAGACTAATGCTAATATTTTTTGATGCTGCATTTTAAACCCTGGTTAGGAGCATATAACCTTGGCACGTAATACTTTTTCTGTCTGACTCATAGGGCCATCGACCTTCACTCATCTGTCTTCTTGGTCCCTTCTCTTCACTATATCTTTTCACTATATGATTTTTTATAAATGAATCGGCTTTTAGAATACTTATTTAACATTTTCACCAATATTGAGCCAAAATTATCGAAAATGTGCTTATTTTTCACCCATATGGCGACTATAGGAAAATCGTAATTTTGTTTGTTCCTAAGTGCGGTATGCGTACAAATATAATAATTACAAATATTTCTTAATAATTTTAAATTCTTAAGTCTTCCTCTGCATGTTTCTAACAAGAAAATCCGTGTGAAAAATATATAATTTTAATAAAGTTACGAGTCTTTTAAAATCGGCATGCTCACTATTTTTTCTTAAGAAACATGCACTGTCGCTAGTGGTGAAAGAACCACATTTAGAAAAACTTTAATGACTAATAAATTAACTTAGATTGATGAAATTTTACACAGAGATATTTGACAATGTTATTGAAGATTATTCAAGACAGTTTTCATATTTAGTGAGATGATTTTTTAGTTATTTGAAGTTATATGCAACTGATGCCGAGTACTGGTACATGCCGACATTAGGAGCACTTACCCTACAACAGTACCGTCTTTTTACGTTTTCACAATGGAAGTCAATTTATAGTAATGGATTTTGACAGCAAACTTGGCTGGTCTCCTGGATGCCCTTATTAATACGCCTTGATGCATCATTTTTGAGGTAAGGATGAATTGTTGGGTAAAAAAATCAGATGAACATTTCTTACACACTCTGATTGATAAGCTTCAGAAGCTCATATGTTCCTGGTAAGGTGCGAACCGATTAAATACCTAAAACATATTTTCCGCAAAATCAATTGTTTTTTTTCTGGTAGGATTTCCGATATCCGCAAGGAAAAAAGTATTACATAATAATCGGGGCTGCAAGGACTTCATGTGGTAAATGTTTAAAAAGGATCCGCGAGGGTGCCTAGACACTTGTTCCCCAAAGGTACTGTCGTACAGGATATTTTATAGTTGTGCATAGTACGAAACAAGATAGATCCATACTTTTGAGGATATAAGAGAATTACTTTCTGACACAGTCCTTCCGTTTGTCTGTCAATGCATTTTTGCAAGGAAATCCAATTGTGATATTTGGCACAACCCATTATATTAATTATAATCGGATTTAGATGTTCTTCCATATATATTTTACTAATTACCCATATATATTTTCACGGATTTAACGCAAATGGTGCATCAAATACCAAACAGTTGTTCTATAGAGACAATATTGTGCACAGAGCTCTGAATAGAGTCTAGGTTGCTGTGTTCAGTTTTCTTTTAATCGCTTAGATTTAGATATTGTCTACCTGAACTGAATTAAGTTTTGTGTCAAGTTGACTTTGTATTGTTTAAGATATAGCTTCCCTTCCGAATCGTTCGAAAATTTTACTACAGATTGTCCTCCTCTTGAAGCTCCCGTGGCCAATTTTGGCTTAAATGCACTTTACGGACACCTCTCAGATCATTTTGAAATTTTTATCATAGGTAGCCCTTCTGATGCTGATTACAACAACATACGTTTTTTCGGGGGGAAATCAGTACTTCCCGAGATATGGGGTTCCAAAGTTCAAAAAATACCCCACTTTTTATTAAACATATTTAAGAATACCACTCCGAAACGTTTAATTTTTTACAGCACATAGTCCTTTTGGAGCTAATTAGAACCACATAATTTTTTTTGGGGAACTTCGTACTTCCGAAAATATGGGGTTCAACATTTTAAAAATAAGCTTATATGGTTATTTCTTTGATTTAAGGATTTTTTCCTTTAGGGACACTCGAATTGTTCTGGATCAGCAGAGGTATGTATAATTTACATGATTACATAAATATGTTACTATATGGGAGGAAGTCCATACTTCTTGAGAAATGGGGTTTGGAAAAAATAGGCTGGGGCCGGGGATTTAGTAATGAAGCTTATTAAATATGATTTAATTAATCACGTATAACTTTTAAAAAAGAAATTGAAATTAAAAGAGAATTCCGCTCGCGTAGCCCAATTTTTCACCTGTCCATAGAAGAAAGTCTTAAACCCCGGCCGAAGGCCGGCTATTTATAAAAAAATTGAAATTAAAAGAATCGCGTAGCCCAAATTAAACGAAGGCCGGCTATTTAGAAAAAAATTTAAATTAAAAGAGAATTCTGCTCGCGTAGCCCAATTTTCCATCTGTCCATAGGAGAAAGTCTTAAATCCCCGGCCGAAGGCCGGCTATTTATAAAAAAATTGAAATTAAAAGAGAATTCTGCTCGCGTAGCCCAATTTTCCACCTGTCCGTAGGAGAAAGTCTTAAATCCTCGGCCGAAGGCCGGCTATTTAGAAAAAAAATTAAATTAAAAGAGAATTCTGCTCGCGTAGCCCAATTTTCCATCTGTCCATAGGAGAAAGTCTTAAATCCCCGGCCGAAGGCCGGCTATTCAGAAAAAATTTAAATTAAAAGAGAATGCTGCTCGCGTAGCCCAAATTTCCACCTGTCCATAGAAGAAAGTCTTAAATACCCGGTCGAAGGCCGGCTATTCAGAAAAAAATTAAATTTAAAGAAAATTTTGTTCTCATAACTCAATTTGTTGTCGGATAATAAGTAAGGGTATAAAATGTAGGTTTTTATTACATTTTGATACCCCATATTTCCGGAAGTACGAAGTTCTCCCCAAAAAAAATTATGTGGTTGTAATCAGCTCCATAAGGACTATGTCCTGTAAAAAATTTAAACGTTTCGGAGTGGCATTCTTAAATATATTTAATAAAAAAGTGGGGGTATTTTTGAACTTTGGAACCCCATATCTCGGGAAGTACTGATTTCCCCCCGAAAAAATGTATATTGCTGTAATCAGCATCAGAAGGGCTACCTATGGTAAAAATTTCAAAATTATCAGAGAGGTGTCCGTAAAGTGCATTTGTTCCCCAATTTTTATGCCTTTTAGGGAGAACTTCATACAAGAACAAATTGAATCGTAATATAGTAACATCTTTGCGGCGTCTATAAACTTGCCTTACCCCTAAAATTTGTCTTGTTCCTATATTTTGACAATTCGTTCAATTGTAAAATAATATATTTTTTGGTATACCAATCCTCTCATATTAGGATCTATAAGCAATCGTCTTAACGCAAAACTCAATGTTAATAACTAATTGTAAATTCTTTATCACAGAACTTCACATATTATATAGAGTTCTCTAACACCAGTGAAATATGTTTTTAGAAGTAATCCCAATTACAATTCCAGAACAAATGTTATATTTACCAGATTCTTGTCGAAATTTTTTCGAAGGAGACATGGAATCATTTACACTTTCATCCGACCGCGGAGAACGATTTCTTTCACAGTTTGACTGAAAAAGTACAAACGTTTTAATATTTTACACAATAATTATCTACAAATAATTACCATTTTCTCAAACGATGTTAAATATTTGACGAACAAAATGTGGTATGTTGTTGCGAATACAGACGCTAAGTTTTTGCCGTTCCTAGTAGAGTTGAGTTGTTTAGTTCATGACAGTGTTGCCACCAGAATAGTACATATTAGAAACGGAGGATAAATAAATTACCCATTTGGGGAAACATCGAAAACTAGACTAAAGATAAATGTAAAAAAATGTGGACTTTTTACGTCTCCATAATTTGGAGTCAATTCACAATAATGAATTTTGAGAGGAGCAGCTTTGTGGAACTTTTTTCCAACGTCGTTATAAGCATTTGGGAAGATATAAAAGCAAGTTAATAACTTTTTGTAATGTTGGAAATAATTAAGAATCGAAAAAAGATGTTATAAAACATTAAATAATAAATTACCCATCTCGATAATTGCACATGGGTCCCACATGCAACAAAAAATAAAACATATGAGTAATTACTTATGAGTGGCAACACGAACGAACTAGTTCAATTTAATGATTCTTTGAAATGAGCGTACGAACTAGGTCAATATAACTAAATTTAGTATAGTTCAAAGCAGATTTATTAAGGTAACCGCATCAGCCCAGCTGTTTGAACAAATAAAAGTCAAAAATATTGTAATTCAAAACCAGAATATTACAAAAAACAAAAAAATTATAAACGAGAATCTTCTAAGCCTGTTCGGCAATATATTTATTAACATTTTCTTAATGCATTTGTGTATAAAAACCTTATAAATCGGTTTGTTTTTGCGAAATATTTTTGACATATCAATGTACAACAACAGTCGCAGCAATCCCGTTCAACAGAAAAATTCGTACAATTAAGCAATCAACTTTTATTGATTACAAGTCCCGATTAAAATTATTAAGCTATTGACTATTATTGATCACAAGTCCCGATTAAAATATATGTATGTCTGTACATCTGTCAAAGTGGGTAATTTCTACTAGAATTCGATGTGCAGTGTTGCCAACCATTTGAAATATTATAAGGAAAAATTCATGGCACAATGAATAGGTAGTCCATTTAGAGCAGCTGATGTCTTGATTAACTGTCAAAGTGGTAAATTTTACTTGAATTGGATGTGCAATGCTGCCAACCATGTGAAATATTATAAGGAAAAATTTGACAGATAATCGAGACAAAAAAAATGTTTTTGTTTTGATACATCACCTTATTATTGCATCATGGAAAAAATTATCAGATGGTCGAGACAAAAACAAAGATTTTTGTTTTGGTACATCACCTTATGCTGAAATCAGTAGCATGTTAAGTGTGCTCGTATTAATGCGAAGGTAGTTGATACCATGATATATAGTAGTCCATTTAGCGAAAATGATGTCTCGATTAACTGTCAAAGTGCGTAATTCCTACTTGAATTCGATGTGCAATGTTGCCAATGTTGTTGAAATATTATAAGGAAAAATTCATGATGCAATAATAAGTGATGTATCAAAACGAAAACCTTTGTTTCTGTCTCGACCATCTGTCAAATTGTTCCTAATAAGAATCTAATTAGAATCTAATTATATTTATTTATATTTTTATATCTAACTAGCATATGCCCGCAACTTCGTTAGCGAATGTAGGAAATATTTAAACATGTATTAACATATTATATTTTCACAGCAAACTGCATATAGGAAATTACAAAATTCTTTTAAAATTATTTTATTTCAAATATAAATGAATAAGTGAATTCCTATTCGTTGTAATTCGCGAATTTCTTCACAAATGGTTAAACACCATTGTTTTCTTTGCATACTAGTCAAATCACATTGAAATACGGTACAATAGTCCCGAAAAACAAATAGAAGCATGAAGATGTCGGAAAATAAAATAAATTAACTTTTGAATTAAAACAATAAGAGTTTCGTCGTTAAAAGCGACTAAATATATTGCACTTACAATTCATAAAAATGATCAATATTGAAAAGCATGCAATTCGCGTATTAGTTGAAATCAATTGATGCGCATGCGATTTTAGTATAAACCGAATCAATCTCTTCCAATAATTATGCATTTTTCGAGGTTTCATTATGCGGCCAAAGTGTGCAGCTGATGCACTTTACTATGCAAAAATGATTAAAAATGGCGCAACGTGCATACGATTTTTATGCGCATCCGATACCAGTAATCTCCTATGAAAATGCACAAAGGGACACTGATTTTAAAAGGATCGGTTAAGAACCGCGGATGTGCCTCCACAATCGATTATTGATAAAATACACATATAATTCGCGTATCTATATATTTTTGACCTATTTTCACACAGATTCGCGAATATGACAACACAAGAATGAATGTATGTGAAATCAATTCGAAGCAATCCGCGATTATATACGCGAATTTGTCAAAATAAGTTTTTGCAGTTTTCCCACATTCAAGGTACCTATATCCGCCGTTTTATTGGGCGGAATTGAGAATGAATGGGCTCATTAGATCCGGCACGTAAAAAAACAAAATCACGCGGGGTTCCACGGAATTTGAATGGACCTTCTTAAATTAGGACTCAAAAAATGGGTTTTTTACAAAAATTTACGCACCAAATTTTCGTCTTTGGAATCCAATTGCAAAGGAGCTACGGTGAGCACATTCATGAGATATACACCAAACGAAGCAAAATCACTAGTTCTACAATCCTATAATTAGTTTAGTCCATTATCTGGATGCACGTCCTAATTATAAGAAAAATTCAAAAAACACCGAAAATCCGGCTTCAAAATGTCAGCATCCATTTTGGGTGGATGCAGTGATTATATCGAAAAATCATACTAAGTTGCAGAATACCCCATGGACAATATGGTACTAATATTGTCCATGGGGTATTCTGCAACTTAGTCACTGATCACATGTGCGTGCGTTGTGTAGTTTAGCCACAAATAAGGATGGAACACAAAAAAACTCGTTGGCTTCAACACATTTTCACCCATCACAACCATCACAGCTTCCACCCAACTTATTATTTATTACCAATATTTTAAGGTTTTGACAAGAAGACTTCATTTTATAGAAATGAATTTAAATTTTATGCAATATGTTCATATTTCGCGAGTTATAACCTTACAAACCTCAGATTCAAGGAATTTAACAGATTTTTGTAATTTCCCATATGTCAGAAAAACCAATTCACACATTAATATAGACCATAAATTAAATTTGAGTACCATTTAGTACCAAATTTCATGATTTGGGCTATAAAGTTTTACCAAAATCCAAATTTCCAAAACTTCCTACATACCCCAAACATACACATCGATAGTGATTCTAAACTCAAGTTTCAGGATTCCAACTCCATAGGTTCACCCACAATTCAAATTGTACCAAATTTAGTACACAGTAGTACGAATTTCCAAATCCTCCTTCTCACCCAAACTTACTGTGGAAGTAGTGATTCTTAATCCAAGTTTCAGGATTCCAACTCTATTGGATCACCCACAATTTAAATTGTACCAAATTGTACCCAATCCTACAAACCGACAGTGATTCTAAATCCAAGTATCAAGATTCCAACTCCATAGGTTCACCCACAATTCAAATTGTACCAAATTTTGTACAAAGTAGTACTTATTTCCAAAACCTCCTTCCTACCCCAAACCTACACAGTCATCCCAAATCCAAGTTTCAGGATTTAGTACTAAGTTGTACAAATTTCCATCCTACATACCCAAATCCTACACCCCCACAGTTTACACCCAAATTTAGAACACAGTAGTACGAATTTCCAAAACTTCCTACTTACCCCAAACCAACACCCCCACAGTGATCCAAAATACAAGTTTCAGGATTTCAACACTATCGGTTCACCCACAATTCAAATTGTACAAAATTTACCACACACTAGCACAAATTTCTAAAACTTCCTACATATTTCAATCTTACACCTTAACAGTGATCCTGACTCCAAATTTCATGATTCTAGCTCTATTGGTTCACCTAAAATAAAATAAGCAGGGACGTAAGCAGGGGGTCGGCCCGGGAGGCCCAATTATAGTACGATGTAGTACTTTTCGTACACATAAGTAAAAATTTCTAAAACTACGTACATATCCCAATCCTACACTCCGACGGTAATGTTACTTTGAATTTTTAGGATTCCAGCTCGATTTGTACCACCAAATCAAATTTGTACCAAATATAGTACCATATAGTACTTTTCGTACACATGAGTACACGCTTTCCAAACTCTTCTCATATCGACCCTACTTCTCAACATTAATTTGCATTCCAAATTTCAAGTTTATAGCTCAATTCATTCACATGCTACGAAATTGTACCAAATTTAGTACATTTCAGTACTTTTCGGATATTTATAGTTCGAATTCCCTTTACTACATCTATTCTACACTCCATCAGTGACCCTCAATCCAAATTTCAGAGTTCTAGCTCTACTGGTTCGCCAAATACAAATGATACCATATTTAGTACTTTTCGTACCGTTCTAGTACGAATTTCCAAAAATCCAGCCTTATCTGTCACCTTTGGACCAAGAGTGACACTCACATAAAATTTCAAGATTCTAGCTTCAGCCGTTTCATCTGGGCGTTGCTGAATCGTTAAATCAGTCAGTCATTCACTACTCTTTTATTAGTATAGACTTCGTTAGCAAACGTAGGAAATATTTAATTATGTATTAACATATTATTTTATTTTTAGATAAAACTGCATATGTCTGAAAAAATAATTCACACATTAATATCGACCATAAATTAAATTTAAGTACCATTTAGTACCAAATTTCATGATTCGAGCTCTAAAGGTTCAACCAAATTTTAACACATTTTCCACTTAGCACACATTATTTCCATAAGTACCCTCCTCAACCAATGATTCCAAATTCAAATTTCAGGATTCCAACTCTATTACCGAATTTAGTAGTAGAATTTCCGACAGTTATTTTAGATCCAAGTTTCAGGATTCCAACTCCACAA